CAACAGCAGCAGCCGTAGCGCTGGCGGTAGCCGCAGCAGCAGCAGCAAGAGGAGAAGCGGCAGCAGCAAGAGCAGCAAGAGCAGCAAGAGCAGCAGCAGCAGCAGCAGCAGCAGCAGCAGCAGCAGGAGCAGAAGCAGGAGCAGGAGCAGGAGTCGTTGTCGTCGTCGTCGTCGTCGTCGTTGAGGTCGTTTTCGTAGTCGTTTTGTGGGTATTTCCGGTGCTGCTGCCGCTGCTGCTGTTTTTGTTTCTGCCGCTAGCTTACTGTTGTTGTAGTTGGTGGCGGTGGTGGTGGTGGCGGTGGCGGCGGCGGTGGTGGTGGTGGTTGTGGTGGGGGGTGGGGGTCGGGGTGCGGGGTGGTGGTGGGGTGGGTGTCAAGCTGTAAGTTTTGACCGGCTCGCACAGGAAGCACCCGCGGCCATGAGGCACAAGAGTGGCTGCTTTTGTGGGAAGAACCGGTGCCTGTCCCCTTGTCTTAGGGTTTTGTGGTTCAGGAGTTGCTGCCAGTGTCGAAGTGCTGGCGCTGGTGCTGGCGGTGGTGGTGGCGGTGGTGGTGGTGGTGGTGGTGGGGTGCCTGTGGTGGTGCAACAGTAACGTCGTAAAATAATCGCACTACTAATTGTGACCGTACGTTGAATGGTACAGTACTAGTGCGGCAATACCAAACATGAGCACACATTTAAGTTGTTTTGCTGGGTGGTCGTGTCATTTGGGAAGAGGTTGGAAAAGCCAGTTTGCTGCGGCTGGCATGGTGGAAAGTCGTGCCGAGGTCCTCACGTTCCTTGGTGGGTTGCTTATGGTCTTCGTCGTTTCAGCAGTGCGAAGCTTATGCTGGCTCTGTGTTTGACGGACGGTACTGCAGCGAGTGACAGACTGTGCAGTCACTTGCACTTAGGTTGTTTTTGCTCCCTCGGTTCTTTCTGGCGTGAGTTACTTGAACATCACCGATCCCTCCACGGCCACTTGCTGTGGCACGAGCTGGAACTGCAAGAGAGCATGAAGCAGAGACTCACTGTAAACCAGTGTTAATGTGATGATGGGCCAAGCTGAGGCACAAGTGTCACTGAAGTGGCTGGAGCAAGTTTCCATGGCTGGAATGACAGCCGTGCTGAACCGGCTGCTGGTGCACTGGACTTGTGTTACCACCGTGCCCGTGAACCATAGACCCGCGGAGCAGTGACGGTTTCGAGCAGGCGATTGGCATGAGATCAGCTGCTGAAGCGGGGGGCTTTGTACAGAAGGCGGGCGCTGACAGTGGAAGCCATGAGTCACAGACCCACCCGTGATTGCAGAGCCACCCCTGCCAGGTCAGTGAGGACAGCGTCTTCTTGGTATGTACATATTTGTTGGTCCTCGCCAACTCCGCCTTCCCGCCAAAGTTGCTATCCCAACACACCCTTGCCTCTTGTTCGTATGGCAGAAGTTCAGAGACCGTGTAGCACTGTGGTTTTGCTCAGTGCCCGCAATGACATACCAGCGCCAGGTTACACCTCTGGGTATTGCCCAAATTGTGGTCGGCCCGCCTCTTTGCAGACCCATCGTTGTGGACAAGTCAGACGGCTCAAACTTGCACACAGCTTGTCGCTGCATGATACGACCATACTCAAATCCCGGGGCTTCAGTAATCGTGAAAGCTGCATCTTGCCGCCCTTGCGCCTCGTGCTGTGGCTCTCTGCCGCTATCACCCTAAACCCTAAACCCTAAACCCTAAACCCTATCAAAGCTTTAACATGTCAGGCATCCTGGTCGGACTTGCGCGTCACCCCATACTCAGCAACAGAGACTCGGCTGTCGACGTGAATGCCGCCGTTGTGGAGGCGAAAACAAGTCGCAAGAGACTGCCCTGAACCCTACCACTGAACCCGAAACCCTAAACGGCCCTAAACGGCCCTAAACCCCTAAACATTAACGCCCTAAGCCCGAAACCCCTACGCCCCGAAACCCGGAACCCCGGGCCTTAACATTGAGCCTAGGAGTGGCTATTCACGTTGATGGCCGTGATCCTTCTCACGACGGAGGTGCCGCCGGGGTCTTTTGGTAGAAGGCAGTCTTAGGGCTTAGGGTTTCGGGCTCAAAGCAAACAGATCCTAGAGCCGCCCCTAAGCCCTAGGCTTGTAGTACACCTTCTTCGGAATAGCAGCCCATGTAGAGTTCATTCGTCAAGTATCTCCCCGCAGGCTGGCGCTGCTTTGCCTGCTTGCTTTGCGCGGTCAGATTTGTTTGCCTTTCACGATTGTTTGCGATGTCAGTGCATCGGCGGTATAAGAAGTCTGAGCAGATTAGTGATTAGAGCTTAGATGATAGTTAACGTATACAGAAACGGGTTGCAGAACTGTTCCATTAAAGGTCGAGTTACAATCACACTAAACCAATGTCAAGCCTCAACCTTGAACTCTGACCTCTAGGCCCCCACCCTGAAAGCCGGAAGAATGGTGGAGTGCCCAGTTTCTCTACATCGTCTTTCCTGCCTGGTCCTACTGGACTGCGCACTTCCGTGTGCGGCAGAGCAGGTGCCGCCCCAAGATCCGCCCCACCAAGATTTTCTAGTACCTTTAAAGGGTTCCTTTAAGGGATCTATAAGGGATCTATAGGGCTTTTGGGTACAGTTTTGTGTATTTCCTGGCGGCCCTGTTTAGACACCCAGACTTCCGATTGAGGGCGTTATGATGTATCCGGCTGACGGGTTTAGATACAAGGGGCTTGAGTTTCATTAGAGTGTTTATCTTAGGTGCTAAGGCTTGGGTTTAGGGCTCCAGGTATCAGGATTTACATAGTGGTAAGGCTCTTCAGGGATCAGGGTTTTGGTAAGCATGACTTCGGGATTGGGGCTAACAACAGTAGCATCTAAACGATTCGACAATGATAATCAAGGGCAAAGGAAAGCGGTTCAAGACGACAGCAAAAACAACAAGACTAACAATGGCAATGAGAAGGGTAATCGCATAGTATCGCAAGAGCAGCGGCCGCGATTGTGGAGGACTTTAGGAATGCAACGAGCATCACGTACTAGAACGATGGAAGCACCACAAACAAAGGCGTCGCTGATATCATAGCAACAGCAAGAGACATACTTGTAATCAGTCATGTTTAAGATGATGGTTTACAGGAACAACACGAACAAACTAGGACAACAGGGATCAGCATCCAGAACAGCAGTGAGCCAGCAACGACATCAGCAACAGCAGCCGCACTACAAAGAGCAGTCGTCGTGGTTGCAGCGCTCATCACAGTGGACGAAAGACTAGTGGTGTAGTAGAGTGTAGTAGTCGTCGTGGTGGTGGTGGTACCAGCAGTAGCAGTAGAAGTAGTAGCATTAGTAGAAGTGGCTGCAGTGGCTGTAGCAGTAGCAGTACCGCTAGAAGCAGCAGTAGCATTAGTAGCAGTAGGATCAGGAGGAAGAGGAGGAGTTGGCAACAGAACAAATTTTAGTACCTCTAGTTTTACGGCATTTTACGGTTGGTCAGATCGAGCAACATTCAACGACGTGTTTAGTTGCACACTTCGAGGTACATCACAGTTCGGGAAGGTCAGCCAGCGGTGAGCTTGGTGAAGAACAGCTGTTGCGTCGCAGATCTGTATCCAGTCCGAAAATTCGAGCAAGTGGTTACTAAGGTCTTGACAAGTGCTGAGTTCCCCATGGCCCAAAGGCGGGCGATTCCAGCCACCCTGCCAGTACACGTGAGTGCAGGAGTTTTATTAGCAACCCATCGACAGTGCGAGCGGTGGTGGAAAGTAAGCAACTCTGAAAACCGATAGTGTAAGAATGTACCTTACTATACCGCGTTGTGTGCATGTGCAGTCTTTATATAATGTGTGTACATATGCTAAATGTATATGTGTATATATATATATATATATTTATAGATATGCACATGCATTCAGGTTTAAAAAGTGCAGCATATGTTGCATTACTGGGATAAACGAAATTTCTCAACTTGGCATGCTCTGGCAATGATTGCAGGTATGTCGACATCTTGCTGATGATGACATTGGTGTTTGTCATGATAACCATTGACTACAAGTCCATGTACACGATTGGCCGCATCCTTAGCGCCGACGGAGGGTCTTCATGTCTGCCAGCCTCAGCACAGGGATGCACTTGCACGCCTTCTGCATAGAGAGAGCATGTGTGTGTGTGTGTGTGTGTGTTTGTGTGTGCGCGCAACCCTTGTTTCTACCCCTAGGCAGAGTAATCGTAATCGTCATAATAAGTAAGAGTAGTAGTAGCAGTAGTAGTAGTAGTAGTAGTAGTAGTAGAAGTAGTAGTAGTAGTAGTAGTAGTAGTAGTAGTGGTAGTAGTAGTCGTCGTAGTAGTCGTAGTAGTAGTAGTAGTAGTAGTAGTAGCAGCAATAGTAGTAGTAGCAGTAGTAGCAGTAGTAGCAGTAGTAGCATTAGTAGCATTAGTAGCAGTAGTAGTAGT